CCAAGCGTGACACATCAGAGAGCTGCCACACCCTTTGCCCCTCACAGCCAGTTGGTCACTAACTCCCCAATGGCTTTTTTGCTCTTCTAGCCCTACTGCCCTCACCTATTGCAAGCCTTCACTGCTTCTCTGTGAACCCCGCAATGGCCTCCTGTCTGGCCTGCCACCTCCTACCCCTACTCCCTCCACTAGCCTCCTGCTACCGCCAAATTAACCTTCATAGAGAGCTCCCCTGGTTATGGTGCTCCCCTACTCAAAGCCCATACTGACCTCCCCGCGCCTTCCAAACAGGATTCACACTATTCAGCCTGGTACTCAAGGTCCTTCATGCTGTGGCTCCAACTTACCTCCACAAACTTAATTCATATCCCTTTCAAACTGGAAGCTTTCTAATCTCCAGGTTTTCCCTTCTCAAACTCCATGGCATTCTCCTTGCCTGGGGACATTTCTCTGCCTACTGGAACTCTATCTGCTTCAGTGCACTTTTTCTGCTCCCCGAACAGGACATCACTTCTTCTGAGATCCCAAATCACATTCTGTATCCCCCTCTTGTAAGCCATCATCCTGCTCCATCCACCCTGGTCATCAGGCTGTAAGCTCCTGGGAAGCTGAGGGCTCACACCTGGCTCACTCTTCCATCCTGGTAGTAGCCAGCATGACCCTCATACATAGTCCACACATATCTGATGAAGGGTGAATGAATCAAATTGAGTCTAATTGGTCAAAGGCCGCCATAGCCTTTGTTAAAAAGTACTTATAAAGATGGTAGAATGTGACCTTTCCTAGAAGCAGTGTGGTGTACGTATCTCTGGGGTTCAACAGACTGAACACAAAGTCTGACTCTATCATTTACCAGCACTGTGGCCTGAGCTAGCTTTATAACTCTGATCCTCAGCGTCCTCAACTGCAACATGAGAGTAATACTCACATCACAAGTGTGTAGGGAAGAATAAATGATATAACAAAGGCAAATGGTTTAGTCCAGTTCCTAGAATACAGACAGAACTCAGAACAGTGAAGAATCCCCTTGCTGGAAAGAAGTGATCCAAGAAGTGATACACAGAATGCACAGATGCAGCCATTTCTGACCTGTCTCCAGCAGTAGCTTCACGATGGAGAAGTTGGAGTGGGACACGCTATAGTGAAG